AAGCGGCTCCTGCCCTGCCCGGTTCCCGGTACCGGCGCGATCTGGTCCGTTTGCAGCCCAGTTCCCGGTGCCGGGGCTGTGCACGGCGGCCCCTTTGCAGCCCGGTTCCAGGTGCAGGTTCTACGCAAACTGGTCCCTCTGCAGCACGGTTCCCGGTGCCGGGTCTGCGCACGGCGGACCCTTTGCAGACTGGTTCTGGCTCCCGGTCCTTTCGTGACCTCTTTACACCCCGGTACCGGGGACTCGGGGCCGTGCGAGCCGCCCCGTTCGTAGTCCCGATCGGGCCGCCCACGCCCGCTGACCCGTTTGCAGGGACCCGCTGCTCTGCACGGCGGCGTCGGGGTGCGGTGCTGTGGGCGGCAGCCCGTTTGCAGCCCGGTTCGGGGACCCGGGGCCACGCAGCTGGGTCGGGGCTCGGGGCTCTTGCACTGGGGGTCCCTGCGGGCAGGACCCCTTTGTAGGATGCGGTGGCCGGTGCAGCGCGGCGGCAGGGACCCAAGGACAGGGGGGGTGCAGGGAGTCACCTCCCCGTCCCCGGGGGGATTTTGGTTCATTTCTTTGCTTTGCCCGCAGGACAGAAGTGGGTGACCGCACGCTGAGCACCAGAACAGACATCTACCTACCCACGAGAAAAGAATTTAGGGTCCGAAAAGCAGGAAAGCCTGCGCAAGGCGCTCTGTACATATGCATTTCATACACACAGGACAGGGGACAGGAGTTAGAAAGAAGGCAGTGTCCCCGCGGGCAGCAACCCGCTTTGCAGCACAGCCTGGAGGTTGTGGGGTGCCTCTGGAAGGGCGTTTTTTTTAACCTTTGCTTTTCCCCGGGGAAGAGGGGGGGATTTAATATGATCAACCGTGTGCCCCCAACCCTAGTCCTAACCCACCCAATCTCGAGATCAACCCCTCAATCCCAACCCCGGATCCAGACCCCAACCCTGATCCTCGTCCCGAAGCGGGGGGATCAGCAGGGAAAAACGAAAAGGCGACTCCGGCCCGTGGTTCCCGACAGCCGAACCCGGCCCCGCAGCGCTCCGAGGGGCCGCGGCTACGGGAATGTGTTGGTGGGGCAGCCCGCACGCGTCGCGGGGGAAGGATGCTGCCTTAATACCCTGCCCCTCGACGGTGGGGTCCCCTTGAGCTGTAATTTAAACCTCTTGCAAAGGCTGTGAAGCACTTGCCGGTCCCCTCTGGGGTGAAACGAAGCGCTGGTTTGAGCAGCTTGTGGGCACCCACAACCGGCCGGCCTGGCGGCTTCAGGTGTGGGGCAGTTGCACGTGCTTATTGATCTGCATGTGAGACAGCAGAGAGGTCTAATAGCTCATTATAAGGCGCAAAGACATCGTCCCAAAATAATCAAAAGATCATTTAATTGAAGCAGTTGGTGGAAAACAACGGGAGAGATAGGAAGTGCTTACCTCTGGGGCCAGACAAATCAAATATCTTGATTAGAGTTTATTCTCAAATGTACAACTATTAATAGTGGTAGGAATGGGTAAAAATAGCCTGCTCATAGCCTCCTCTTAGGTTGGCCAGCTTCAGCAAATGGAAAATCCATTTGCTTCCTCTGAAAGGCTCTTTGGCAGCAGGGGAGGCTGCATATGCCACCTCACAGGAGGTCCTTTGCCACCAAGATCCCGTGATCTGGCTCAGCTGCAACAGGTCCCCAAGCAGAGGAGATGCCATCGCTGCTAGGGATGCTGGGGCCACCCCAGGGGACAGGGGGCTACATTGCTCAGTGCCTGCCACATCCCAGAGCTTCTTGCAGAGCCACGTAGCAGCGAGGGAGAGGAGCATGACGAGCTCTTGGTCTGATTACCTAAAGATCCTCCAGAAATTTGTCTCCTGGTGGAACACATTTGCAAGGAGTCATCTGCTTTTGATTGATGAGGAAGCGTCCACTTCACTGCTAGGCAGAGCCTTCCCACAGTTCTGACTCTCCCTGCTAAAAATCACCTCCTATTTCTGACCTGACTCCCTGAATACCCCAAATCTTAATCACAGGCAGGTAAAAATGGCATTCTCCCCACGGCTGCTGTATCACCTGCCCAGATTTGACCCTGCTGCTTATGGGGGTGGTTTGCTCGCTGCTCTGACGTGGAGCAGTGCAGACTCTTTGCTCATGGCCGGGTGCAGCGAGAGCTGCGGATGCTGCTTGTGGCGTCGAACGCCTCCGTCTCAGCTCAGCCCCCCGTTTCTTGCTGTTTTGCTGCCCTGAAGCGGTGCCCCTGCCACAGGACAATACACAATAGCTCGCAGTGAGCGAGGCGGCTGAGGTAAGAAAATTCCACGAAAGTCACACAAACATCCCAGCTACGGAACATGCAGCTCCCGAGGGTCCGGCTTGGACGAACTGTGCAAGTAGAGAGAGGAAAAAAAAAAAAGAACTAGAGCTCACAGCAATACCAGCCTCTGCAAAAATGTAGGCAGCAAAATGTACCAGAGAGCCTGAGCATGCTTTGCAGAGCCGAGGCCAGAAATAGGCAACCTGAGGGGATACTCGGAAAAGAACAATTACATCAGAGCACGACTTTGCTTGCTGAACATGCTGCCGAGCCAAGGAGCAGCTTCACCTTGGGGTCATGCTGGTCTTTGCTTTCCAACCGGGCTCTCTGCGTTGAGGCGATGGAAGAGCAGAGAGGGAAGAGGCGATGGAAGAGCCGGCCCTGTGCACCGAGAACCCAGGGAGCTCCTGCAGGCCCGGGAGAGGTGCAGAGCAGGCACGAGCTCTTCTGCTGTTGGGACTCTTTGAGTCCTTTGAAAGGCTTTGCTCCTGCACAGTGCCCGTGCGGCTGTTTCTTCTGCAACCTGGGGCTTGTGAGTGCACAGATATCCCCAGCAAAGCCCTGTCCCCAAGGCCAGCCAGGACCAGGCATTGGAGAGCGACCAGCTCCTGCTCTGCATCCTGGGATCCTCCCCCTGCGCCCGGTCACAAATAACCACCGTGGGCTGACGCTTTCCCAACAGCTCCTTGCAGACAGCTGGACTGTGCAGGACTCTGGAGACCGACCCAGCTCCTTAACCCTCCGTTCCCATCCTGCTCCCTTCCCAGGGGAGCTGGGCTGGGGGGACCTGCTGGAGAAACCTCCTCCTGCCACAGCCCTTGTGTCGTCTTTCCAAGGCCCAAATCCAGCCTGCGCTGTCCCACGGCCCTGCTTGCTCCCTGGGATCCGCAAGCTGGGGTCGGCTCTGGGAGGTGCAGGAGGAAGAGGAGCAGCTGGGCAGCGAAGGGGAGAGAGGGCTTAGCTGCAGCTCTTGCTCCCCTCCCTGGGGAAAAGCATCTGATTAATTCAAGATGCAGCATACAGGGTTCCTATTTATTCCCTATATTATTAGCTTGTCTCGTTTTATTAAATCTCCTTTAAGCCTTTTCAGAAGGAGCACGTAATTTGCAACATATAATTTTTCCCAGATGAGTTACAATGCAGAGGCGAGCAGCTCTGTCACTGGGGACCAGGGCTTGTTTTCATTTGCTTCCTTCTCCCAACCCCCTATTTCTTTTGCAACAGTTTTCCTTGCAACTCGACTCCTTCTAACATCCGGGATTTGCTTGATGGGCAATCTGGAAGCCTGTGAAATGTCCCCAGTTCCCAAATCCTTGAGTCGTGCGACAAGGGGCAACGATAGCATCGCCTGGTGCAGTGCAGTCCCCAGGGAAACCTCGTACCTTTTGAAGACGGTCACCCTGCTGCTATCTGGGGAGTGACCCCAGCGATTAGCTTTGATCTGGGAGGAGCAGCAGGACGGAGGCTTTAAGCCCCTAACGGAGTCAGTGTGGGCTCCGATCGATGGCTCCGTGCCTCTAATTTCCGCACCCGGCTGAGCAAACACATGTGCGGGAGCTGCGCACGCCGGGGTGACCCAGGCTGCGCTGGCAGCGGCACAGAGCTCAGCCCAGCAACGCGAGCAGCTCGGTGGCCTTGGGACATGTCACTGCTCGGGGCAGCCTCGCATTTTGCAAACGCATCGTGGCCAGGCCTGGGACAAGAGCTGGTCCTGCCTCCCTAGAAATTCTCTTTGCAGGAGCTGCGATGTTGTCCCTGTCCCCAAGACCTCGGTGGGGTCAGTGCTGGACAAAGCCAGAATTTGGGGGAACTGAGGTGGTTGAGTCCCCGTATCCTGAGCTGCTTGCAACCTTTTGGTCATTCTGCAACCTTTTGGTCATTCTCACCCAAATTGGAGCAATGTGCTGAGCACGACTTGGCTCGCTGACATGTGGCCACCTCAGGCACCAGCAGTGATGAAAGAGGGTCCAACGTGGGTCCCCCGTGTGTCCCCAGGTTGCATGGGACAGTGGCAGTGGCTCCTGCAGTCCAGTGGACAGGAGCATTTGCACATCCTGCAGCCAAACGCCAGCTCCTTCTGTGCACATTCCAAGTCTGGCATCTTGCTGGGATTAGGCAAAATGTCACCTGCAACCTGAGACGGGCAGCGAGGGACCTGAAATATAGGGCACGGGGGAGAGGCGGGCTCCGTGCCCCCGATGGACGCGTTGCTACCCGCTTTGAGAGGGTTCCCATGGAAATAGCAGTTGCTTCCAGGTGCTACGGCAAAAATAAAAGGCTTTTGGGGGCCAGCGCGGCCGGCAGGAGGTTGCGAGGGCCACATCCAACACCAGGCTCTGTCCAACCTGTGGTGGGGCTCAGGCACCCACAGGGTTCGGGTGTGAGGGTTGCACTGGTTGGTGTGAGATCAGGGGCAGGGTTTGGGGCAGGAGCTGGGCTGCGTTTGAGCCTGGAGCTGAGTCCACTGCCAAAGCTGACAGGAGCTGCCTCTGGTAAGCAGCTCTCCGACGAAAACTAAAAAAAGGCAACATGGAAAAAACAGCACATTCCTATCGGTTCCTTGAAACCAGAGAGCGGAGGCCGTGTCGCAGCTGGAGAACTCTCCAGGCTGTCAGAGAGCAGCTTTTTTTAGCATGCAAACCGGAGAAAACAGCCTCATCACTTCTCGCCCATCGAGTGCCCAACACCAACGCGGGTGCCCGGAGGAGCCGGGCTGTGGCCGAGGCCCTGGGGCCGCAGCATCCATAGATCCATCCATAGTATCCCTCCATTTCCCCAATCCACAAACATCGCAGGGCACATCCCCCTGCCGCAGCCCGTCCTCACTCGCCAGCTCCGATGGGGTGACAAGCACCCGGTTGCTTTCGCCGGATGTTTATTCTGCATTACTGGCTCATAGTATTTGTTTGCTATGCAAGGCAGGAAAGCAAACAGGGTGCGCGGGGTTACCTATGGTCACACCCCCACGGTGCTGGGGCTGGTCCCGCGATCCTCCCTCCCAAATAGCCCTGGCCTGGAAGTAACCCCATGCCAAGGAGGAATGCAAAAGGCAACATGGAAAAAAACACATCAGCCCTGAGCAGGAGCTTTCGGAGCATCTCGGCTGCCGGCGCACACGAGGGGCCACCCCGCGGCGCGGGAGGGCGATGGACTCAGCGACCCGGCCGTGCCTGCCAGGGAGAAGTTGTGATTTAACTAATTTCTCCCGCATCAGGGTTTGTTTTGGAGAAATGTCCTGAACACGAGGGCGGGCGTTATCTGCGGGTTTGCATGCTCTGTTTCTTGTCCCAAGGCTGCAAACAAACCCGAGCTGCCAAGGCGCGAGGGCGATCGCCTCGCATCCCCCCTATGCTGCTGGTTGGAGACAGCTCCGTCCCAAGGGACCTGTCTGCCCGCAGGGACACACTGTGGGGTGTCCCGCCACATTCCCAACACTGCGTGTCCTTGCATGGTGGGGACATAGGTGCTGGCACTATCATGCTTTGCTGTGGGGGCTGCAAATTCTTAGAAACATTAGGTTTGGTCATTAAGATCATTTTTTTCCTGAGGAAGGAGGGTCCCTTAATCCTTCCCTGCTAAATACCGCAAATAACCATCTTTTCTGCCTTTCCGCCCAGCTCAGACACTACCTCTGCGCACACTGGTTTTGTCTTAGGCAATGAAACAGATCTCTCTGAAATGCCAAAACGCAGCTTTGCAGCAGACGGAGCCAGTTCTCCAAAGGCAGGGAGCTGTTAATCCATGCCGGCTGCCATGGGAAGAGCCGGTAAAAACAGGCATAGATCAGCGCAGGCAGCGAAGGGGACATGGAGCAAGAGAGCAGCAGGGAGGACTGCAGGGGGTTGCGAAGCCCCCAACCTACAGCAGGGGTTGACCTGCTCTCCCATCTGTGAAGCCCCCAACCCACACCAGGGGTTGACCTGCTCTCCAGACCGAGAGCACAACAGCACAAACGTGACCCTGGCCGTAATCCCGCTAGAGCAATGCCTCCCCGATAAGCAAACATCTCTTTTGTAAATACTGATTTTGCCTATCAAGAAATCTGAATTTATTTACATCAGTGACTTTGAGCCAGGCCTGGCAGCGCTGACATAAATTGCATAATGCAGCGCATCCTCTGCTGGGAGGTTGCTATGGGGACTGGGCCGGCTCGGCCTCCCTCTATAAACATCGGCTGCAAAGGGGATGTGGAAACTTATCTAAAAATAAAAACCTAAGCCCAAGTCTTCAGGGGGAAGGCCATTGAGACAGCAGTAAAAATAAAATATATCCTCGTGTAACAGCAGAGGATCACGACGGCGGCACCCGCGAGGCTCGAGGCAATGGAGGTGCCACGGAAAAGAAACCAAGACTTTTAATTCTTGAGGAGCAGCTCTGGACGGGCAAATTACAACCATGCACAAGCGAGAGGGAACCTGGCGGCTTCGCGGAGAAGGGCTGGAGCCGCGAGGACGCCGGGCCCTCGGCTCGACGCTGCTCCCCTGGGACGGCGGCTGCACGAGCTCCTCCTGGGAACGGCCACAGTGGGAGTGCGGGAAGGAGCGCGGGGCCTCGAAGGGCCCAGGGACATGGGAAAAACAGGAACGACCCCCTTGGCACAGGGGAGGCTGGCTGGGGTTCCCACACAGATCCCATTCCCTTTTCCCCTCTTCCAGGGGCTTTATCCCTTTTTTTTTCTTTTTTTCCTTCTTTTTTCTTTTTTTTTTTCCTTTTTCTTTCTTTTTTTTTTTCTTTTTTTTTTTTTTTTTTCGCAATTACAGTTCAGTTCTCAAACTGTTCAGGGAATGTATAAGCATCCAGGCTGGGCTGCAGCTTTGCTCCTGGGATTCTCCCCTTCGGAACCGGTTCCGGCACCAGGATCTTCGGGCAAAACCAAGTCCTGGCGACTGTTTGATTCCAGCTCGCGAGGGCAGAACAGGACTCGGCTGCAGAGAAAAGAAAGAAAGAAAAAAAAATAAAAGCCCTTTTATTTTCTCCCCCTGCCCACCCTGTGAGGGAGTGAAGGCAGCTCAAAGGTGCCAAGGGACCCTTGGGCCATGTCCCCTTGCACCTCCATCCATGGGGTTTACATTGCAGCAAGGAGTGGGACTGCTGCCCCCCATCCCACGATGGGAAAAGCAGCAATTCCCACCAGGAACAGCCCGAGGCAGGTGTACAGCCTTTGGACAGCTGCTGCCAGCCCGAAAAGTGACCCTGGTGGCTGTATTTTGGGGGGCTGGGGCACTGCTCTGCAAACCTACCTGCAATCACTATTTGCTCTTGGCTCCCTTCTGCTTCTGCCGGTAGATCTCCTCCGTGAAGGGGCTGTGGGAGAAGGGCAAGAGCGGGATTAGAGGGAAGAAAAATTCCGGATAATCAAAATTATCAAGTGCTCCTTGGTCCTGTCTCTCCTTCAGGACTCCCCTTTGGGCAGGAAAATCTCAGCTGTGCCCAGGGCAGGAGCATCCCTGTGCCGAGCTTGGCAGGGCTCAGTTGGGCCCCCTCTCCCTGACACTAGAGCCCTCCCGCTGCTGCAAGAAAACCACCATTTCTGGGGATAATTTGTGGTCATTCAGTCCAGGCAGGTGGGTGCAACACAGCGGAGATGCCCATGGAAGGGAGGCCAAAACGCAAGCTCTTTTTTGGGGTTCTCCCCAGGTGACCCCGTGAGACCTCGTGGCCTCCCTATCGCTCCCACCTGTCCCAAAGTGGCCCCCAAAGTTGAGGAACCTCGTTTGGAGAAAAGCAGATATGTGCACAACTTCCTAGAACTCAGAAAATCACTGGAGTGGCATCTGCCCATTAGCAAAGTGAGTGAGGAACAATCACGTGCTTTCCTTTGTCCCCATGGAATTAATTGGAAAAAAAAAATCCTCATTTTTTCCAATTCCCCGAAACCCTGGGACTCAAAGACAGCAGCAATAATTAGAAGCTCTCCAGCTTTGCAGAGCTACTCACCCCTCGTAGAGCACTGCAATTGTGTAGGAAATTGCCACTACAGCCGTCAGCAAAAGGCCAGCTGGGCTCGCGTGCCTGTCATGCAAGGGAAGAAGAGGGAGGTAAGTACATGGGCTTAAGCAAGACACGGTTTGGAAAGAGAAACGAGACCTTTGAGGCCATGAGAGCCTCTTGTTCGTTAAAGAGAAGTGAACAAAAGGTGGGGTTTTTTTGTGCTTTGTGTTAACCAGCTTGGGAAGATGCTACTTGGAAAAGCTTCCTCCCCAGCCCAAGGAGATGTCTCTTATTTGGGCCCACATACATGTGAGCTGGTCGAGCAGCTGCTGATGCGACCTGTGCTCCTCCGGCAGGCCCGGGATGAGCTGAGTGGATGTTGATATCGGCCCGTGGCTCTCATGGATCCGTGGGATGAGTCGGGAAATGCGGGGATGCAGCAACATTGCGGTTAGGACTCAGAGCTGGGTTGCTGCTGTGGGCTGATGGCAGCGAGGGCAAAAAATAGGGATGGAAACGACCTCCAACACCTGCTCCAAGGCTAGAAGGTGCTGCCGGATCCATGGCCAAGCTCCAGCTTTTCCCAGCCTTTGGCAAACGTGACTTCACCGCATGTCCTGCCCGCCAAGCGCCTGCACCACGTGCTCCATCAGCACCGACTGCGCTGCCCTTCGTTAGGGGGCTGCTAATTGCCTTTAATTAGCTGCAGCTCAGCACTGTGAGCAGGGTGGGAGCTGCCTGCACGCAGCGGCTTCCCACCGGGAATAAACATCTCAGTCCTTCTGGAACAGGGATCATCCTGGCTGGGTGGAAAAACTCCTTCCAAGGGGGAAAGGTCCAAGCGTGCGGCTGGGATGCCCCCGATTCCTGGAGAGACGCGTGCGGAGCGTCACCTTTTCGCTCCTTCCCCTTGGCAATAAGTTTCTTCCTCATTAGGAAACATTGGGCACCTTCTGCATCTCCTGGCTGCCTGCTATTACATGTTTAGTCATGTCTTCTCCTTGATTTGTATCAGAGAGAACAAATTTGCATGATTGTTTGTTGACAGCAAGACCTCTAATTGTATCATTTGGCTGCGGCACCAGCCCTGATTTACACAGCTTGTTGCCATGACTTAAAACATTTTCCCCATCCAAAGATACACAGAACCATCCCCGCACGACTAATGCTTGATTTGTCTTGCAGGAGCTGCTGAACGCTTGACCAGGACAATGAGAAATATTTGGGTAAATTGAGTTTTTTTTTTCCTTCTTCTTACAAGCTTGACCTACTTATTGGCAGCGGCTTCTTTTGCAGCACAGACAGGGGTTCAAGGTGGGTTTCTTGCCACTTCTCTCCTTTTGGGATGTCACCTTTGAGGACCTGCGAGCATTGCTCTGCTTGTGGCCGCAGGATTCAACCCTCCTTGGGCAACTGCAGCTTCAGCCCCTCAAGGGACACCGACTTGTAGCGATGACCAACTTGCAGGTGTGAACATCTCTGGAGCCCTTCCAGCTCCAGAGTTATCCGGAGAAACCTTATTTATCAGCTCGTATCCAGGCAGACGCACAGGGCCCTCCCCAAACGCCCCATCACTCCCTGTGCGCAAACAGGGTCAAAACGGCACCTTGGGCGTATTTTGTGGAGCAAGTTTATTTTGGCTGCACAGCAGCCGTGCGTCGAGCTGGGGCTGTATTTGCAATATCCTGGAAGGGGAAAACAAAACAAAATAAAAAATGATAGTGGCTTTTGCTCCATGCGTTGCTTTGGATGCTGGATGTCAGCATGGAGGGCAGGCTGCCTGGTGCGCCGCCAGGCGCGCTGAATTGTGCGGAATGTGCCCCGGGAGACGGGAATGAATCAATCCGTTGGGATCCGAGGCCACGATGCGCAGCGTGATGTGCAGCTGGGGGAGGAGATGCACGCTCCAGGCCCAGCGCAGGCTGCCAAGCGTCCTGCGCATCCCGCAAACGCAGCATTGGGGCGGATGCGGTGGAGAGCAGGGCAAGGGCTTGATTTGTTCTGCAAAGAGCTGGGGAAATCGTTTGACACTGATCTTAATGAAAATAAAATGAAATAACCCTCCTTATAGCTCCTCGTGGTGAGATTCCTCCTCCTGCTGCAGCACAGCAGGTTGCATCGTTGCTCTCAGCTGCAGGAAGGGGTTCCTGCACCATTCCCACAGGTCTGGAGCCAACGGAGCAGCCGTGGGCTTGGAGGAGAAGCAGTGGCCCCGGTGCATGGAGAGCCCAGATGGCTCCTGTGGGACATGTCAGGCAAACTCTGGAAAAACGCTATGGGCAGAAGCAGGGAATGCGCCGGACCAGAGCACTGAGCACGGCTGAGCCACAAAATGCGGCCTGGTGGAGGCAAAGCAGTTCATTCCCCTGCTAAGCACGAGCAAGGGGCTCCACGTCGCAGCGCCCGTGCAAAACAAGCGCTAACAGCCCGCCGTGCTCCGTGCAGCTGGGCCTTTCGCTCCTGGGCAAATAAATAAAAAGCGGTATTAAATAAAGCCACATAAAACCCAATACGCAGAATATCCAGAGCGTGTTGCTCATTTGCTGCTCAATTACAGCCTATTCATTTCCTCCCGAGCCGGCTATTAAGCTGCAGTGTGGAAGCGTTTCGGAAGTGCAAACGCTGCGGGGGGGAACGGGCGCTTTGGCTTCTTTTGATTTTTTTCCAGTATAATTAGGGGCCAGGTTGATCCCGGGACCTGTCCCTGCTGCGGGACCCCTGGTGCAAGTCCGGCCCCGGCTGTTGGTTTTTCCAGCCACAAAGCGCATCCCATCGCTGCTGATGCTGCCCTCGCCGGCGCGTAGCCGCTGCTGCAATAGATGCCGAGCTTGGAATAAAAGCAGTCCGGAGCGGAGGCATCGGAGCGGGTACTCACATGAGGGCCCAGCCCAGGTAGACGGCGGTGCTGCCCCAGTACATGGGGTTGTCCAGGATGCTGAAGGGGAAACTCGTCACCTTTGCCTCCATCAGGATGCCGAAGTAGTCACCTGCGGGGCGAGCAGAGCGGCTCATTAGGATCCTGGGGGACTTGTGCATGTCACGGCCACGGCTGTGATGTGGTGGGGACATCCCTGCTGGAGTCTCCCCCCATGGATGCAGCTCCTTGGCCCCGCACCGAAGGCTGGTGGCCCTCGAGCCACTATCAGCCACCTGGGTGCAGTGCCAGGGAGGCGGCCAAGGTGGCTGCTGAGGGCAGCGGGCAGGTTGCTCCGGATCTATCGGTGTTTCTGGGACGGGCTCTTTGCCCACAGCAGGGTTCATGGATCACAGCCATGTCCCTCGGCACTCACTCCTGGGCATCACCACCATTTCAAGACAGGATCCTCTGGCTCCCACCAGCAAATGCCCTTGCTGGAGCCACCCCTTCTCCCCCAGCAATTCCCCCAATTTCAGATTCCCAGGGTATTTTTGCAGTGCCTCAACCTATAACTCCCCCAGTTGACAGCACATGGGTGACAGCAGGCACTTGTCCTCCGGAGCAAGCAAAGCTCCAAGAGCCTCCAACTGGCTCTGCCTCAGCCTCGGAGCAGCCTCCACACACTGCAGCCCATGAGGAGCCCGGAAAAGCAAAGGAGAAGCAGGAATACACCGTGCCTCTGCTGCAGGGTGCCCGGCAAGGGCTCCAGGGCCGGACACCGGCCAACGTCACACGGACCGGGCCTGCCCAGTGCACCCAGCTTTGCTCCCAAGCCTGCGTCCCCTCCATCCCTGCCTGCGATATCACAAGCCAAACATCAGATCAGTTGTTCTCCTGTCGCTGGGGGTGGCCAGGATTAAAAAAGGTTGAGAAAGGGCTTGGAAATGCAGATAAAAAGCATTTCGGGAGCGCAAAGCATTCAAGGTCGTTATTATTACCTGCATCGTAGCGCAATTTCTTTGGCCTCACAGGGCGCAAAAACATTTATTTCGAAGGATAAGCAGCGCCTGCCCAATTATACCAAGCTTTGGGGCTTTAACTACAGGCCACTAAGTGAGATAATTGCCTGGTATTTGTATTTTATGTTCCCAGCGTTACTTGGCAATGCGTCTCCGTGACAGTTCTGGTACAAAGCACCCCCCCAGGTCGCAGCCCATTCCTGCGCTTTCCTTGCCCCCTGCCCGGCTGCAAACGCCTCCTTCCCGGCCCCGCTCACGCGGTGGGAATCATGCAAGGCCCCTTTGCAAGCGGGAACAGGCGCCCACGCCAAGCCCCAGGCCCTGCCACCAGGATGCGGCCCCGCTAGGAGCAAACCTGCCTCTGCATCCGCACATTTGAATAGAAGTGACACAGGGGGAATAGAATATAACAATATATATTTTTACATTCCAGCCGGTGCAATGGGAAAAGGGCTGTGCATGGGTTTGCGCTGCACCGGCAACAGGTCGATGAGGTTTGGAATCCAATTTTTTTTTTTTAACCTTTGCTGGAAGGCAGCATCCCCAGCACCGCCAATGAGCCAAGTCCTCACAGCCACATTTGTCAGAAAATAGGGCAAACGGCAGCAAAAAGAGGCTCTAAACTAAGAGCCTGGCAAGCGCCTGTTGCTTTCTGAATTGCTCCGACTGCCACTGGTGGCTGCAAGGACCTTTCTGCAGAGGAGGAGGAAGAGGAGGATGGGCTGCTAGGGAGGAAGAGGATGGGTAGAATCGGAGATCCGGTCCCTGCAGGGAGTCCCTGCTTCTCTTGCACCTTTGGGACACAGGAACCACGCGTGTACGTGCGGTCCCCACTGCATCCCAAGCAGGAGAGCATCCTGCGCAAGACCCTCTGGGACTCGCAGCCCCTGCGTCCTCCTGGCCAGACAGTGTCCCTGGGATCACTATGAGAACAAAGTGGCCATCGGGCCAAACCCAGCAGCTCCGTCCTGTGCACCTGGGGGCAGCTCAGTGCTCAGATGTCCCGGGCGCTGGTGAGACCAGGGCTGGCTCCAGCTGAGCCGGGGACGGAGCTGAGCTCTCCGCTCGCCCCGAGCCTGACTCATGCGTTTGCTTTTCCCCAACAATTCAGATCCAGCAGATCCCTCTGGCCGGATGAATCAGACTTTACGTAAGCAACCACAGAGCCAGCTAAACCTTGGGGAGTGTGCAACCAGCTCCGGAGAATGCTCGGAAGCGCCCCTGGCTCCAGCCACCCCGGCCACATCCCTGAGCATCACCACTTTCCAGCAGTGCAGGAGCTGCCCCAGCTCCTGGCGTTCAGGGGGGACCACAGGTGATTTTGGGGTGAGCTACAGGCAGGCAGCAAGAGCGCACGCGCTCAGGACTCTATTTCTAGTTGTCGGATCTTGGCCAACTCCAACCGTTTCTCTGCAGCGGCCCTTGAAAACCAGGCAGGGTTATTACCGCCCGCTCCTCTTCCTGGAGACGCCGCAGGAGCTAATTGAATTTGGTTTGTAAAGCACTTGCAAAAGCACAGCCTAAATGCAGTGTCAAAGCCGGGCCTGGGATTATTTCAGCCAGCGGGAGCTGCCCCTTTCCTTAGATATTTATTGTTCTCGGCTCTTATTTTTATGAATTCCTCGCATACCGGCGTGTTTTGAAAGTCAACAGCGCTAATAGAATTACTCTGCAAATGGGAAAGCAGGCGCAGTGGAAAATGCTTTCCCCCGCAAAGCGGTAGATAAAAGCATCCGTCAAGGGCTGTCAGGTTTAGTGCAGAGGGAAGAGCAATTGAGAGCGGCCTCGGTACATGCACCGAGCGGGCCGGGGCTCACCACACAGCTGGGCTTGTGCACAGCTCACACAGCCATTCGCTATTTTGCTGCTGGACTTCACCACTGGACCGCATTAGAAATTGCAATATATATAATATATAAGGCTTTAGGTGATGTGTGTGTTGTTGAATTTGCTCAGCCTTGTGCTGAGGGGAAACGGGGTCCCGGGTCTGCTTGCCGACCCCCTTCCTGAGGGATGAGCCAACCCCTGGGATAACGGGGGCTTTCCAAAATTGCGGCATGACACTGCACTCCCTCCTGCATCAGCGTGTCCCAAAGCCTCCGTTGGGATTAAAGGAGCTCTCTGCCTAATATCTGCATTTCTGGAGAAGCTAATGCAAGCTGAACAGCTTCACTGCTGACCAAGCACCCCGGACATCCCGGCAGCGCTTACCTAGGAATGTCCCGACGAAACCCAATGCCAAGAAGCTGGAGATGACGAACACGGTCCCAACAGCCAGGACGGCCAAGCCCAGGAGATAGGCCCAGCGGCAGTCCAAGCCCTCCAGCCTGGGCTGGCTCTTCATGGCCTCTGTGAAGCTGTTGGAGAGACAACAGGGGTAGTTAAGAGCAGTTATCAGCGGTTACCCCAATGAGGCATCAACCACTTTGGAGGTGTTTGGTGTTTAGGGGTCTTCAGGCACCAAGCTAATTCCCAAATGATATTTAAATCTCATGGTTGAGGCACCTGGATGACAACTTTGTTTTCTTTGGAGCTCGCTCATATTGTTTTTGTTATCGTCGGGGAGTTTTTCAAGTGCCAAGGGGGAAGCTCTTTCGTCTTCCCTTTGGGCTGGAGCAAGGAAACAAAACAGGGAATAAAAGCAGAGAGATGGGGAGGGAGCAAGGAGGCAGCAGCTCAGAGCTTTACACCTTGCCCCCACATCGGAAATTCCCGGGAAAGTCCCTTTCCCTGGCAAAGCCGAGTGGGAGCAGCCAGAGGTCCCAAAACACAACCCGAAAGCCGCACGGCACCGGAGCGTGGAGCGAAGCTGGACCGACCTGGCTGCGTTTTCCAAACCCTTTTCCCTGCCGGGAACGCAAAGAGCTCGTCAAGGAAACTGGGTCGCTGCTCCCTCTGCCCGGCTGGATGCAAGGGACCGCAGGGAGCCGGCGCCGCGCGTCTCGCCCCCATTTCGGGCTTTTTTTGTTCATCTTGGCCAAAGGAGGCAACGGGGCTAAACTGTCCAATAGCTCCCAGCAGCAATCGCGCCGCAACAGAAGAACTGGTTTATTTAAAAACAACAACAACAACAAAAACCACCCTTAAAATTGCCCTGCCAATACCACCCATGGCTCTCCCAGCCATCATCCTCACAGCTTCTTTTGCCCGTAACGGCTGCGCTCCGTGCCTGGGCTGTGCGCTATTGAGGTCAGCTTGGGCTGTTTGCATCCTGAGGGGCTGCTTGCTCCCAGGCTGGTCCCATTTCCAGCATCAGCAATGGGAAGTTGCGGAAAGCACAACCACGCTGGGGTTGGTTCCCTTTACTTCCCATCTCCGGCTTGGGAAAGGGCGCAGGGCTCGGGGAAAGTCTGCTTGGCTGCTGCGGCACGGTGACACTGCACGGCGACCCGGCCGACCGAACAGGTTGTCACGTCCCATGTCACACAGATAAAAGCCATAAAGCTCCGGGGTAGCCAACACGGTTAAGGCAGTTCAAGAGTTCAGGAACTGCTTTCGCAGGACGGCGAGGAAAACCCGGGCACTTGGTGCGTGCAGGGAGCAAGCAGGTCCTCCCGGTTCCAGGTCATTTGGGATCACTTCTCAGAAATGAGGCAAGGCTGATATCGAAGCTTGGAGCTGGGAAGCGTCTAATTGCCTAAAGAGCCCTCAATGGCTTCCCCTGGTGCCACCCGTTTGCAAAAGAGCTTGCACGGGGCAGTGGTGGCTGATGCTGAGTCGTGCGCCAAGTCGCTGCTTGTTCTCCCCTCCCCTCCTCCCCCAGCTTGGAGCCTGTCGAAAAGGCACTTTCAAAAAGGAAAAATCAAAAGGAAAAGAGAAGGAAGCAACAAGAGACATCCTGCAGGCTCCTCCGTGTGCCTTGGGAGCCCTCACCCACATAAAAGACCTGAAAGGTGCAAAGAGGTGATTAAAGGAGTTTAAAGGCTGATTGCAGCAGCCCAGGAGAGGAAAGCGGTTAAGTTGGAATGAGCTTTGCCACATTTGTCCAGGAACCCGCGGTCAGGATCGAGCCTTGCCAACGGCACCACCGCTCCAGCCTGGGGCAAGTAACCCTGGGCAGCCTTGGCCGGGTGCTGCCACCCCACGTGCTGAGTTTCCTGGGTGCATTTCAGAGCATCCCCAAGGACCATCGGGCAAACACCCCTCTGCTCGCAGCCCAGGACTCGCTCCAAACCTATTGGATATCGTGCGATCCGGCTGCAGTCTGAGGGAATAACCCAAGTGCATTGAAACATCCCGGCAAAACAAGCTCCACATTGCAAGCAGCCCCCTGCAACCATTCCTCCGGAGCCCCCCTGCCATTCCTCCTGGGCCATTTTAATTAATCAAAAAAAGAGCAGATAAAAGGCTTTGAACGGTTTTTCACAGTCTACAAGCTGCCACAGGCGGCAGCGACCGCAGAGCTGCTCCCCTGCGAGCATGCGGCACGCTGCACGCTGAGCCATGCGCCGCGCGCGCACGTGCGGACCCGCGCGCGCTTCCCGCAGCAGTGCGTGCAGGTGCAAGGGCAGGTCCCGGAGCCGCTTCTAGGAAAGCCAACCTCGGACCTATGGGTGCAAATTCCAGCTACTGTGCCTGGGAAAACACCTGAAGCCCTAAACAACCCGTTAGCCCTGGAGCTTGCTCAGAGTCCGCCCTGACTGGCAGCGCCGGAGATAAATCCTGCCGGATCGCAGAAAAATGGCTTCTTAACAACAAGCTTAATTATTTCTCTATTTTTAATGAGGTAATTAAAAAAAAAAACGCTGTTGCATGCAATCCCTCCCATGCATGTGGCCTTCTTGCTGCCCACAGTGAGCAAGGCCATGGTGCTCAGGACTCGCTGTCCCCAGCGCGTCCCTGCGTCCTTACCAGTGGCTCCGCACGCAGTTGAGCAGCAGGATCAGGATGCCCAGGCAGTAGCAGGCGGCGCGCGGCGAGCCGAAAGCTCTGCTCAGCGCTCGCGTTTTGTGCTCCCATCTGGCCACCTGAGGAGACAACAGAAAACCAAAGCGGTCGGTGGAGGTGTTGGGACTGGGAGAACAGGACACAGACCCCGGGGACACAAAGGTCTGACCCTCAGGGTGCTCTGACGTGGACAGATGCTGCGGACAGATGTGCATCCAGCTGCAGGCATCGCCGCTAGCAGCAGCCACCCCAGATGCTGCCACCGTATGGCCCCAACTCGCTGCATGCAAAACCCTCACCCTGAGTGCAGGTTCTTAGCTCCGTTTAGCAGCGAAACATTAGCAACACAGGGCGACTTTGAGGGTCCTGCTTCCTTCCCTGGGCCGATGCCGGGCGCCGAGTGCCGCAGGGGGCAGCGGGAGCGCGGGAAGCCGTGCCGAGCGGGGTACTGATCGCACATGCCGCGGGCTCATTCAATTAGTTATGCAATGATTGCTCCGCAATTACCAAGCCGCTCGTGGCAGCGTGCGCGGCTGCGTTGCCTTTTCCTGGCTGGCCTCAATGGTTTGCAGCCTAAATTGAATTTAAGGCATCATGCGTCATGCTGCTGCTAAAACGGGAGCCGTCGCGCGAGGCGGGAAGGAGGAATTGGGGAGGGGGACGCTGCCACCTCTGGAAAGCAAAAAATGTGACCGCGCAGGTGAATGGGTCCCAGTGGCGGGACGTAGCCACACGCCCCTTGCTTGTACAAATTCCCTCATTCCCTGCAATGCTTGTGCTGGGCACGGGATGTGCACCCCGCCAGTGGCCGCTCACTTCCCAAAATGCGTGTCCCGGCAGAACGATTGCAAAACCCATTGGAGCAGGGAGGCTTCCTGCACGCTCCGGCTCCCGGCATTCCCGAGCTCCCCGGCCGGGACCGAAGCGCCGTTGGAGCTGGGCTTGTGCTGCCACTTCGTAGCAATTAATTGGTTCCGGTTCTAATTCCTGGCCAGGAGCAACTCATTAGCTCTGGCGCGCTCCTGGCTTTCTAATTTTAGGCGCTCCTGGCTAATATTATCTCCCAGCCAACGCCTGGATAAGCGGCTGCCTTTGTATTTTTAGTAAATGAGAATATTATGTGTTTTTTCTTTTTAATTCTATTTTATTGATTGCATGATGGATGCAAATGATTCCAGCAGCCTCTGGAGGGGCCGGGAAAGGCTCTGTGCCATGGGGATGGTGCGGCACGTTCCTGATCTCCCTGCTTGCAAACAGAGCTCAGAAGCGCCTTGACTCTCCCAAGGGTGAAACCAGAAGCAATTCAATCCTGCTTTTCCCAAAGTTCTGGGCTTTCACTTTAGGAAACCTGGTGATAGCTGTGAGTATAGATATATATTTTTTTAAGATTTCCTGCCTGCTGCGGCGCTTTTGCCTTTTGGAGCAGGATGAAGCTTCCTAAGCGGCGAACATCCCCTGCAAAAGCAACCTGGTCTTGCAAACCCATCTCTGCAGCGGAGCAAGGGGAAATGCACCCAGATGGGGTCAGCCACGGACGCACGGATAACCCAGCCCAAACTGCCAACCTTAAGACAAAAAAATCCAACTTTTCACACTTCTCCTTCACCCCGGTGAGCTCTTGGTGTGGCGGAAGAGCAGGAAAGATGCCATCACCTCTATTTCACCCGTGGGGACCAGAGGCACAACATAAACCCAACTTTTACCTCCTGAACGCGGCAGCACGGACCGCAAGGCTGTTCCCTCCCTTTCCGAGCGCGGCGTACGGCGCACAGCCCCGGCACGGCACGGGCTTTCCGACGGCATGTGCCGAGCAGCCCCGGGGAGCGGCGTGCCGCCGGCAGCGGGAACATGATTAGCGGGAGCTCTGGGCAGCGAAGGCAGGAGCAAGAGAACAGAACAAACCGCGGTTTAATTTGTACAAGCTGGTAATTACGGTTGCTATCTGTCTGAAATCTCTATTGAGTTTATTTAAATATGTTCTCGGCGAGGGCCGTTCGGGCAGGGATTATCAAGGTGTTGCAGCGGAGGAGATAGTGGCGCGCGGCTCTCAGCAGATAGAGAGCTGATTATGGAGGAATTAATTAGCTGCTTCAACAGCCCCTGCCCAGCTGCAGCAATTAGCTGCCACCTCCCCTTGGTCACATTCCCACGTGTGCGAGGCATGAGACAGGGGATGTCTCCCCTCTTATGGCCTTTTAGCGGCACGGTCCCTCGTGCATCCTCCCGGTTATCGCATCCTAGGTGCTATGAGCCATCAGTTCTCAGCCGTGCTCCTCTAGCCGCTGTCCTGGAGCGGGGCCGGGCACCGCATCCCTCGTGCCTGCTGGCACCTCCTGCCAGCGCCGCGGTGGGCTCTGCTTTATGGAATTGCTTCCTGCATCCACGGCTCTGGCCCAGCCTGCCTGGAGACGCGGCTCTTTCTCCGCAGGCTTCTCAATTCCCAGGCATCCATTAGAGCAAGCCCTGAGGTGCTAATGGAGCACAAAAGCTTTTAGAGAGCGCCCACGACTCAGCAAGGCTCCCTGGATAAGTGCTGCGAGCACCGGCTTCCCATCAGCACAGCTAAAACGCTGCAGAGAGACGGGAAGAGACGGGCACCGCAGGCACAGGGCCATTCCCACCAACAAACGGGAGCAGCAGTAGGACCTGGGAGCGGGATGCAGCCCATGAGCAGGAGCTGGAAGCAAATGGCCACGTGCAAGTGCATGGAGCAGTATCGCAGAGGACAAAAATGCAGGGATACCTTGGTGGACCAGAAGGTTCAAAAATCCTCAAAGCCTGCAAAAAAAGGGGAACATAGAAATAGAGAAAGAAGCCAAAAGCGCAGCGAGGGCTTGCAGACCTGGATGAGCCGAGGGACTTGACCACAGGGCAAACCTGACTCCACTTCTTCAAAAGAGCAAAGAGGAACCTTGCAGAAGCCGTGGCCTCCCGCAACCACATAGGGATTTCACCTTAAAAAACTAAAATCTTGCATCCCTTTCCGGGAAGGCAATTGCAGCGATGCAGCACGGGTCACCTCGGCTAATGGCCCTGTGCCGGGCAAGCAAAACAAGCGGGCAGGTAAACAGAGAAGGGTTTCGTAAGGACTGGGTACGCGTCACCCCAGAGCAGTCCCTCGGGATTACTTCCGCACGGAGTCTTTACCTTGGATCCACTCATGATAAGCAGCCAGATAAGACATTTCATTTCTCTAATAGTGTTTATGCGATTGGCCCAAGCGCCATCTCATTAGCGGGTGGCAATAAAAACATGTCCTTGCTTGAAGCACGCCGGGGCCCCTTAATGTTCCACAAGCCGGATCCTTTCCTCTTCAATAAAAACAAATCCGATATGGAATATGGGCTCCTGCTTGCTAGCACTTTCCAACACAAAATCCGACCTCTTCCTCTCGGCAGCAGGGAGCTTGGGATTTACGTCAGAAGGGCTGGAAGCTGAAGGCAGGTGATTTTGAGAGTGATTTTGAGAGCTGTATTAGTTGATTTTTGATGTGCTTTGGCCATGGGGAACCATCCCGGATGGTCACAGACCTTCTGCTGGCTTGTGGTCCTCCTGCCTAGCTCTAGCCCCCTAATTCCAATAGGAATTCCTGGCAGAGCAGGGCAAGGTGTAGGTTGCGAGTATCTGAGGGTTATTCTGCAGCCAGAAGAGCTTTTCCGTAGAGGGATGGGGAAACATTTGGTGTTTAAACCAGACCAGGTTGATTTAAAAAAATAGAACAGTTTTTTTAGCTGGAATTAAAATGGACAATTTTCCAGCAAATGCATCCCACATTAAAAACAAACAAAAAAACAAACAAAACGCATCCCACATTAAAAACAAACAAACAAAACCCCTGTAACTGGTGTGAAAAGGCTATTCCTTGGCTACAGGATGGAAAGACTCTGCCATGTCTTAATTCATCTCTGGTCCATTGCAACGAGACTCTTGGCCTCGTGGGAGACGCTGGCCAACGTCACCGGCCTTTTGCTCTCCTGTGCGAGTCGTATTTGAGCAGTGGCTCTGGAAGGGGCTGGGATGTCCCAGGCTCCCACAGCGCTGGCTCGGCCACTGCATCCCAACAGGTTAGACCAGCTCCGTGCTCATCCAAAAAACAGGGCTGGATGCTCCAGGATTTCCCCCGGGGCAATTCCTAAACACCTTTTTGGCACCTGAAAGGTTAAATCAGATGCTGCAGTTCTCCCAGTGTGCCAAAGGGAGGTGGGGAAGAGTGGAAGCATCCCAACATACTAACCCATAGGAACCACATCCGCAAAGGAGGAGGAGCCGAGACAGCCCAGCCTGGGATCATCCATGCTCCAAGCTGGGCATCATCTCGGCCACTCGTCTGCCTTAATAAGTTTGCACGGATTCCAGCTCTGCCCAGCTCATTAGCCACACAGCTGAACCCGATACTAATTCAGGACCGCTCCTATTGCTAGAAATAAAGAATAAAATCGCCTCCACGCCAGGGTTGTTTTCTTCCTCTCTGCCTCTAATGCTGGGCTGGTAGCATCTCATGTATCTGCTAATGAAGTCCATTATAGCCCCAGCTTCTCAGCAAGTAAAAATTACACTCGTTAGCCAGTGGCTGACAAGAGACGGAAACATCATTTCTAGTCGGGTTGGCAATAACAGAACGGCGAGTCCGCGGCGAGCCGAGCCCGGCTCTCCCGTCACGCAGTACCCAATGTTCTTCATTAGCATCCCTCCTTCTCGTACGGCAAGGCAGCGGCCAGCAGCAGGTCGCAATTACACACAGTAATTAGCGCAGGGAAAAGAGCGCCGGGTGCCGCGGGGTGGCCAAAGGGTGAAGCGGGAGATGGGCAGGAACATTTTAAAAAGATAACAAAGACAAAAAGACAAGGGCAAGGACAAGCAATGGGGGGAGGAAACACGAGCGGGATTGCAAAACCCTTGGTAATTTTTGTGCTGAAGGGTAAAGAAGCACAATGGATACTTCATTGGCTGCAATATCATAATGACCACGTCTTAGTCCAGCACCTCTTGGGCCATTTGCATTTGCAAACGCACCCAAAGCCAGGTCTGCTTCTCCCTGATGCTCTGTTGCTGCCCTTTTGGTGAAATTAGGCTTGAATTCTCTGGAATAAACCTGCCAGCGAGGACTCCCAGCACTGCCATCCCTCCGGACAGCGTGTACCCGCTCTGCGCTCTCCCAAAGCCTGGCACGGGCAGAGGGAAGGAGAGCGAGGAGGGGGGAGAAAAATAATAAATACACCTTGCAGAACACAAAAGGCAAGAGAAACCCAACACCCCTTCACAGCGTGGTGAGAGTTCGCTGGAAAAGAGGCGCTCGCGGCCAGCGGAGCGCAGGATCGCGCTCCGGGGCTGCCGCCCTCCTTGGTGTTCAGCTGAAGTTCAAGCTATCGAGTTGCATGTTCCGTGTTAACCGACCCTCGGGAACATTTCCCACGGAGCCGAGGACACAGGGCTCTGCGATGCTGCTGTCGTCCGAGCGGCCGACAATAGCGAGGGACAACGTGATCTTTATGTAAGATGGGACTCGCGTGCCCTGTCCCTGTTCTCCTGGCCCTGGGGATGAGATGTTCGAAGCCGGCAGCACAACAAGCTGGGAGCTGCATCAGGAAGGGCTTTTCACGCTTCTTTGGGAGCAATATCTGCACATGTTTAATTTTTTAACCGTTGCTGCAAGCTTCTGCCAGGCTCCAAAAGCAGCCTAAATTGTACAAGGCATGCGGAGATGTCAGCTAGACCAATGCGTAAAGTGGAGATCTTCAAAACTGCTTGGATGTGACCAAATTGTGTAAGACATGGAGATGTCAGCTAGACCAATGCGTAGAGATCTTCAAAACTGCTTGGATGTGACCCTGTGCCATGTGCTCTAGGTGTCCCTGCTTGAGCAGGGGAGTTGGGGTAGATGATCTCCAGAGGTCCCTCCCAACCTCAACCATCCTGTCATTCTGTGAAAATAAAACCAACAATAAGAGTCTGGAGGATTAAATGCAATCACTGAGCCCCTTGGGACTTGTTGGCATTAAAAATGGGATTTCTGGGGATGTTTATTGGAGGCCCCAGGTGCAAAAATGTGCCTTTGTTTATCTGTTGATGCAAGAAACACAACCCGAAAGTCGGGCCAGCAATTAGTCACCACCCTGAATGGGTGACCTGAGCACAAGGGAGCTCCTGCCCTCTCTGAATCCTCCAAGTCTGCTCAGACAGGGAGCACGGGCAAGTCCTGCACACGGAGCCCCAGCCCGTATGCGCTCCATAGGCTGCAGGAGCACGAAGGGATCTGTGCTGCACCCGGAGCAGCACAGAGATCGGAGCTGTGCTGGTTATTGGGAAAGGGAAAAAACAGGAAAGGGTTCTTGATAGGAAGGCTGTGTCATTAAGCATGTTATAGAGCAGCTGCACTTATTCAGACAGGCTCGCCCCACCACAAGCTGCTTTGGTCCAATTAGTGGGACTCTCTCAACAAAAAATGAATAAATAAGAAGGGCAAAGACTCTGCACCTAGTAACACTGGTGGGGAAGAAGCTCAGCTTTCACTTCCCCTTGAGGAGAGACTCAAGCCAAGGCAGTCACCCAAAATGCCGAATGAGATCTAGCCCCACGCTCCTTGCCTATCCGTAGATGAAGAGGATGAGGATGGTTCCTCCATGCTTCTGAAGGATGAAGCACCCTGTGCATGCAGGGACCACCTCAGCCAAGCTGGAAGAGGGGAAAACTCTTCTCCTCGTGGGAACAGGGGATCTTGGTAGCGAGACCTCCAGGAGCCACATGCCTTGGGCACAGACCGTGCTGGGGATGGGGACACCAGCCAGGAGCTCCTGCTCCTGGAGGAAGAGGAGGTGGGAGAACAGGCAGGAGAAGCATCCTCCAGGGTCATCACAGCCGCACGGTCTTTTTCCTTCGCTGGAAATATCTTTTGTGCTTTTCTGGCAGGGAGCTGGTACAATTACAGCTTCTTTTGTGCGAGAAGCACAAACCCGATAACGAGCCCCCCTCCCACCCAAGGAAGGAGCGCTGGCGGCCAGGCTTTCCCCCAAAGCAGAGCGTGGAGAACACGGCTCAAACCCATCTCCGCTTCGCCCACTCAGGGGCATTAGCTGCTCGCAGTCTGCTTTTCTGCCAAAAAGCACAAAAAGGAGCACACCCAAAAATGAATGTGCCCACGCAGCACACAAGTGACAGCTCTCGCCGCAGGACAAAGCGGTCGTTCACGCGCTGCGACCGGGAAGGAGCCCGTGCTGCATCATCCCACCCCGGGGGAGGAAGCAGGGGGAGCAAAAAGGATTTTGCAAAAAGAGCAAGAAACTTCCAAATCCAGACAGCCGGGTAAAACACCAAAAATATTTGTGATTGCAATGACACGCAGGCAAGTCAAGAGCTGCAGCCAGCTCTTCCTCACGGCTCCGTGCATCCCCAGAACCATTATTAGCCCCATGAAATCTCTGGAATAATTCCCACATGCCGGAGCCAGACACGGCTCTCCGTGCACACAGCTATTGCAGGCTAAACTCCTTCCTCTCCTCCAGTTGCGTTTTCACCTTGCCCGGCGAGACGTAATTGCAATTTTATAGGTGAGCAGCTTTGAGCAGCACCATGTCAGCTGCCGTAAGCGTTTCGCAGCAGCGTGCCGGGCAGGGGAACAGGAGGACAGCGAGGACAGGGCCTCTCGCTGCTCCCGGCACCTATAAATATCCCTCCGATGCATATGAAAACAAGGCTCTTACCCTAAAAGTATTTTTTTTTCATCCTTTGTGCATATGCTGACTTACCACAGCAGGGCTGCTGGCAGCCGGCAGGTTATTTTTGAAGCAGCAACAAGCTAAGTCTGGGACATACAATGACAGCAGGTTTCTAAACAAAAGCTGCATAAAGCTAAAAAAGAAAAATTAAGGCAGGGGGGCTGCTCCTTAGGCCGACACTCCTGGGGCAACACAAGGTGGGAGGGAGATTGTGACCTTGCTTTATTATCATCGAGCAGATGCTTTGCCCTTCCCTATAGCCATGCCATATTTTATATACATATATATAAATATATATGTATATAAATATGAACAGCTGGCATCCTCCTTGCCACAAGGACTGAGACCCTCCTGCAGTCGACACACTGATGACCTGCAGCCCCGTTCTGTAGCGGGATGTTTGACCGCAGCACTCGGAGCCCCGCGGCATTTGCTGAGCATCAGCCTGGAGAACCACCGTCAAATGCTCCCGGCGGGTGTTACGGCACCGCATCCCGAGCGGGAAATGTTGCCAGGAAAGTCTGTTTGGGTCAGAAAAGGGAAAAAAAATAGACAAAACCACAAAGTCTGGCTTATTTGTGGGTGTTGCAGGAATGAAAGCGCCGTCGCTGTCCCCTTCCGCCGAGTTTAGCAAGAAGTGGTCAGAGGTAGGTGCAATCGGGCCGCCGGCGTCTGCAAAATTCGCCCCCACAAGAGCTTCTCATCCAGTTGGCGGGTTTGTCAATGCAGTGAAGGAGATGAGGAGGGGAAAACCAAAACCAAACGAATCAAGAGGTTGGGTTTCATCCCTGCAGGAGGATGCAGGGCTCTGCCAGCTCTCGTGTCCAGGCACCAAGTTCGGAATCGAAACTTCACAGCGCTTAAACAGCTGAAAGCAGCCAAGAGTGGAGACCTGGCCGCCCTGAGCAGCATAAACCTCAGCCTTGAGGGACCAGACTCGGTGGGCCAGGGGATTTGCTTCTAAATCCCACTAAGTTGCACCTATTGCACTCCTCTGCTTGAAATGTGTGACTCCTGCAAGAAGTCACCAGAGGTGACAGTAAGAGTGAGTTCCCAGCGAGCAATCATGGACGCGGCATTTCCAAATCAGCCTGTGACGCTAGTCCTAGATCTTCAAGAGCTCCCAATCAAGGGAAGGGCGGATGCGCTGCCTCTCCCCCATGCAGCCCCAGTGCTGATGGACGTCAGACTGCTGCTGCAGCAGGGCAATCTCCAAAACACCTAATCCAGGAGTTCGACAAGCTGCAAAGCCCAGTGTGCTCCCCGGAGATGCCGGCATGCAGCTTATCCTGGGTTTAAAAAGTTTGTCTCCTGCAAGTTGTTTTGCATGTGCCACGGGCAGGAAATTTCTCCCACCATTCAGCTTTCTCCGGATTGCCCAAGCCCGGCACTGTGTCGGAAGCACAGGGACAACAGGGGCTTTAGGGGGACATGCATGGGGCGATGCAGCACATCACCCCGTGATTGCTATCAGGGCTTTGGGACACTGAGGAGGTTTGACCAGTGCCAACGTGATTTACCCAGCGCAGGGAGCAGACGCTGCTCTTGGCACTGCCCCAAAATGCAGAGTGGCTGCAGGAGCCGCTCGCTCATAGCCCGTGCGTCTTGCAGTGCCACCTGCCGTCACCTGCACCGGCAGGGACAGCCCGAGCAGCGAGAGTCCTGCCGTCACACCAGCGTCCCCCGTCCTTTCACCGCTGCCAAACTCCTGATCCCAAAAGCCGCGCTCGTTCCCCTCGCTCATTCCCCTCCCACGAGTCCCGGATGCAGCAGCAGGAGTCAATAAAGTGCTTTTTTCTTTTCCCTTTCATGCTGGTTCCCTTTGAAGCCAAGCTCTCCAGGGACCACATCCCAAATCCTCCTGCTCATTGATTCTTTGTGCTACATGACGGCTCCGCTGCCGAAATAATGCAGCGCGTCCCGCCTCGCATTCCTGACGCCATAAGACTCTTTAATAACATGTTGCATAGAAAAATTAGGGAGGCTGCAACAAAGCTCTTCACCAGGGGCTTCTGAAGCGATGCACAAGTCAGCGATCCTCAATCTCCAACCCCCTGCGCTGGGAAAATGGGGTGTTTTTAAGGAGAATCTCTGGGGGTGAAATCTCCCATTGGGATGGAAAGCTTTGTGGGATGACATCTCGTTTCTGAGCATGCTGCAAGGAGCAGATTCCCTGTCCTAGTTGCCAGCCTGGACTCCTCTCCTTCCCGTGTCCATCTGGGGGCATTTCACCCAGGTCAGGCGCTATTCGCAACAGGAGGTGCCAGGGGCAGCTGGCGAAGGGGGGATAAGATCCATGGGGACCGGGGGGATGCAAAATGCCCTTACCACATTCCAGAAGAGCGGGTTGAAGGCGATGCTGAGCATGGCGACAGCAAAGTCCCTGTCGGTGACATCCACGTATCCGAACAGCCGTGCCATGGCTGCCACGTCCACCTGCGGGGGCAGCGGGTTAGCAGGGTGCAGGTGACACCGGGGCCACCCGCCCGCGTGTCGCTGCGATGCCACCGCACGAAACCAGGCGCCTCTCGGGGCAGCCCCCACGAGGGTGGCTCACATGCGTTTGCATTGGGAAAAGCAGCAAAAGACTTTTCTGTCCTGCTTAACAAAAAGAAAAAAAAAATCTACTTTTTCTCCCCCTTTTTTTTTTTGCTTGAAAGACATGTTTTTCCCAGGACAGCTCCCTGACACAGCCAGCATTTTCTCCATGCAATAAGTCATGCCGCTTCTCTCTCCCTGCCCCCTTTCCCTGCAGCGGTATTTGGAGGAAAAACAGCCAACACTTTATTTTCTTTTCTGCCAGAAACTTAGAAAACAAAAGGCAGAGCAGCCCAGTCCGAGCCCTTCCCCCACGAGCGTGCAAGGCCTCAGCTCCCTAAACACAGCTGTGTTTGCAAGGCTGCAGGGACAGGGCCAGGAAGGGCCGGCCTGAGCAGCAGCGCGGCCTCTTCGTGCAACAGCTCCAGGAGCAAAATTCCCACTGGGATCTGCTGCAGGCCGCTGCCTCATGCAAGAGGCAGTGGCTTCATGTGCTGTCTTTAAACCTGGTTCCCTGTGCGGCCTCCATCCAAGCACACAGATGCTGCCTGTCCCCAAGAGCCATTCCTTGGAAAACTGCCCCTCCAGACCCTGCTGTCCTCCTTTGGGCAGGTCCCATCCGCCCTGATGAGCCATGCCCGGGCACTGGGAATGCTGTTGGCGCTGGGGCTGAACTGTCTGGTCCCGCTTCAATTGCGGCGTGCGGGGGACCAGGAGATCCTCTCTCCGCTCGCCGCGTACGGCGCTGAGCGCGCCGAACAAAACCTTCTTGACCTACTAACTGGCGGCATCATTAACGTCGCACCCACCTGCTTTTCCTCCCACCAGAACAGCCAAATCTCACCGTGCCGCCGGCAGGAAGCAGATTGGCCTGTGCCCACGTTGTGCTCTTAAGAACAACGAGGGAGCCCGTTGGGATGAGCCGTCTGTGCAAGGAGCGGACATGGCCAGGGAACGGGCAGGGAACAGGGTGCCCCCTCCTTCCCACTGGTCCCCGTGTAACCGCAGCTGCACTGGCTCCCTCGTGGGGCCCGGACATCACCCTGGTGGCAGCCACGCCGGAGCACAGCCGGAGCACCCTGCCCTTCCCGGCACGGCACCGCCGGCCCCACGTACCTGGCTCACCGCGGCCGCTGGCATTTGGAAAGGTCACAGCTACCAAGCATGAAATATCGGCCCCGGAGCCAAGCGGAAGCAGCTCGAGGTGACCTGTCCCCATGCCAGGAGGAGCACCACGGATGCCCGGCGCCACCGCACCTGGCGCAGCCCCATCCCGTGGGTGCTGCAAGCCCTGGTGCTGTTACCCAGTTTTGGGTGCTCACGGTAGAGATCGCAATCCTGGTAAGCGACACGGCGCGCTTGGCCGTGCGTCGCGGTGCCGCACGTGCATCACTGCCGAGGCCCAGCTTCCCCCATCCTCGAACAAGCCCAGGGCGTTATTCCTCATCTGGGCCGAACCCCTCCCCAGAAGCCCCAATAACGGCGGGG